TGTTTAAATTAACAAATCAAAATATTTTGAAAATATAATGTGGTTATTTTTTATTATAAGCATGTGAACTATTAAATAATGTATATTTATATACAGCTTCATACTGTACATTTTTTATCAACGTATGTTGGTGGGGTAACTACAGCTAGGAGTCATGGGAATTACTAAAAGTGCAAAAAAGCTATAAATGTTTTCAGTTTTCCAAAGGCTGTACATTTATTTAAAAGTTGTTTTAAATATAAATTTGCACAGATATTTTAATTTGGTTTGTTGTTATGCCATGTAATTACCTTCTTTATTGCTTCTAAACATCTTAGTACCTAAGTTTATTTGCTTTGGTACTGCATAAATCCTAATCATGAATGGAAATGTTAGGAGCTATATTCAAAACAGAATAGAACATATGATGAAATGAGATGTGCAGAGAAATAAAGTATAGCTAAGGCTACCACTCATTGGCAGGCGCTGCAGCCTGGTACAAAGCTTGGCTCTCTGACTCAGTGTTTTTTTTCCCTCTGAACTTTGTGGTCGAGAAACTAGTCAACAGCACTGCATAAAAGTAGAAAGAGATTCTGGATTTTACACGAGGGTATAGTCTTTGCAAACCAAGGGGCAAGAATTTAGTGAGTCTAGTCTGCTCCACATCACACTGTGGTTGTGCTGCATAGCTGGGATTTAACTGCTCACCGTGTACTTCAATCTAGAGATGAAAATACTGATTTCTTCCTTTTAGATTTTAAGATGACTAAAACAATTTCAGTATGACTTGAAAAACCCTCTCCAGCCCAGATGAATAAATAAAAGGGGGAGGATTTTTAGGTAACCTTGTCGTGAACAGACTTTAAACATTAAATACCCAGATACTGTAGTAGCAGACATCCATAAGACAACTTTGATGAGATATTAGCAAACATGGACAAAAACCTTAGCAAATTATAGAGGGGCATGAGCGAATTTTATTTTTTTTTCAGAAAGCACAGACATCTGCTCCTTCTTCTATAGATATTGATTGTATTAGAAAAGGCTCTTTAGAGGACTTCTGCAATAGGAATGGGTGCAGGGAAGCATGATGTGGACTGAGAATTTTATTAAACTAACAGTGAAATACTGGCTATTATAAATCTAACAAGAATTGTAAGAAGTTAGGCATTGGAAATTGATATGTATGTTTATGTAGAGTCATTGCTCCACAACAGGATGTATCACTTGTTAAATGATAAGGGATTGAGGGAACTGGTGAAAGAACTCAAGCATCTTCTGCATTATGGGATTTCAGGCAGAGCCCATTCAGAGTTATTGATCAAGGACTGTTATAATCATAAAAAAATGCTCTCTCTCATGCTAGTAAAATAATAATAATTTAGGTTTATTCATTTCACAAGTAGTAGTTGTAGTGCTGATTAATGCAGGTAAACTAAAATATTTTCATGGGTTTAGATCATGCAGTTTTCACTGCCTTTTAAACAGACCCCAAACGCTCAAATAATTTTACACAATTCCTACTTTTTGAGATCCCAGCCATGTGTCTTGTAGGGTGAACAGGGAAGGACACCAATGTTCTTTTCTTAAACAATATCAGGGCAGTAGTATCTGATGAAGCTACTGCAAAGGTACTGTTCATTCAAAGGGGACATGGAAGACCAAGCCCTTTGGACTTCTGGTATAAGCCAGAAAGGAGATTGTGAGGTCCCTCATGACAGGAGAGATGAAGGTGGGAATTGTGAGAAACTGAGAGGGTAGGCAGTAGATGCTTGGGCCAGTCCTGGCTAGAAGTAACCTGTGGGGCAAAGTGCCTCCCACAGCTCTGTGAGTATTCCCAGGGTGGGAGTGCTCAGCACCACTGCATTCTGCCCAGAAAGCCAAGAAGCAGGAAAATGAGAGGGAAGGAAAGTTAGCCTGATGCTCATTTTTAAAGTGATAAAGCTTGCAGCAAACACGTAACGTGTCAGAGTGTCCATTGACTTGACACTTGTTGGATGCTGATATTGAGTAGCAGGTCATTCATCCCAGCCCCGGAAAAGTATCTCTGCACATATGTCTGTTCAGTGTGTCGCTGACAGCTGCCTACCCATTCTTCTTTTCACACTTCAAAATTATAAATTAGATCAGATGTTAGTGCTCCAATGATATTTACAGGGGAATTTACCTTTTTTGATCTAGCAAAGCTAGTAGGATACAAGGCAAGGATCCAGCTTTCAAAAACGCACAAAATTCGTTTTATAATGCTTTTAGAAAGGAATGGATTTGAAGCAGAGACAGCCTTGACATATCCCCCAGTTGTGTTCATTCCTCTAAACAACCATTAAAAACAGGCCAGTGATGGGTTTTTTTAAATAAATGCTTTAGCTCTTCTGTGTTATTGATTACTAATACAGACGGCTGCTGCTCTCTCCAGTTAAAAAAAATAATAATTTTTTCAGCTCTTCGCCGAGCTTCTTATAACAAGTGCTGCTGATCAATTAGCTAGTTCATTAAAAAGTTACACATGATTTTATTGAGGCAAGCAATTCTGAATCAAAGAACCCAATTCGCAGATCTAGGTTGAAGCACATAATTGGCATGTATTTTAGGATTGCTGTTAAAGCTATAAAATAGATTTACTAGGGAAGGAATGGATCCAAAAACCCTTAAGGAAGGAATATATTATTTGTGTGACTCAGTGTTACAAATGGACTCATTTAATACTAAGGTCCTACCTACATTAAAACAAAAATCTGAAATAAATGTAAGGCTTCTTTGATTTAACTTCTTTAGCAAAAAGTTATCCTCCATCTGATTAAACACAAATTACATATGATATGATTACATTTCTTATGCTATTATTTTCATTATTGTTATCAAAGATATGTTTTTATTAAATCATTCAAATTTAGATGAGAAGTTGCCAATGTGTAAACAAAATTCTATAAATATGTTCACCATGTTGTTGAGATCCATGGTGAGTCTGGTATTAAAGCCCCAATTCTACAAACAGTTGTGCATGCATGAATGAGTGGGGAACCTTACACATGTGCAAGTAGGACATGTGCATGGATGAATGAGTGGGGAACCTTACACATGTGCAAGTAGGACATGTGCATGGATGAATGAGTGGGGAACCTTACACATGTGCAAGTAGGACATGCTTAAGCATTTGCAGGGTGAGAGACAGCAAAGTGCATTATTCAAAGGATGTTTTAGAAACAGTGATATTTTGTTCTGAGTTTACAAGCAGGATAAATTTTGAAATTCAAGGAAAAGAGTTTGGTTTAAGAAAACTTTATTTTTAAATACTTGAAAAAATATATTTACTGGTGAGTTTATGCAAGATTTCTTTAAGAAAAAGAAAGCTGTTTTTGTTTTTGAACCGTGATATATAAACAATCAAGTCTTAAATATATTAAAATGTGCATAGAAACTACTTTCAGTTATGATTTTGATTGCTTGATTGCCACATTGTAAAAGTTTCTATAGCTGATATTGCTGTTGGACTTTGTGTGATGGCATTGAGGCATTTTTTTGACTATTAGCCATCCCAAGGGTTCTTTTCAGACAAAATGTTATGCATCAAGTCTTATTTGAGTGTAAGCCTATTGAATAGCATTCTTCTCTCTGCCAACTTGGCAGCAAGTTCTTGTGCTAATAAAAGAGGTTGCCCCAGATAGAGATCCCAGATGTGCCTGAACTACTTTTATTAGGACTATGGAGGGACTTAGTGTTTCCTTCTAACAGTTTTCAAAAAAGGTGTGGGCTTGCCTTCATAATTGCCCAATGAATTGTATTACATCACGGGATTTTTTTTCCCTCAAATTGAATAAAATGTTAGATGTGTTAGCACAGAAATACTGATGTTCAAAGCAATTAATGCATTTTGCCACAATACAAATGCTGATTTGACCCTACTGAGTTCTGTGAGAGGGGAGAATATTGCTGCGCAACCGTAAGATACCTTCATTTCTTATATAAGAGTAAGTAACAATAGATATTTGTCAGAACAGCAGCATACCTGTGGCATATGATGTATTTGACTATAATGTGAATTATTTCTTGAAACCATTGTGTAGAATTATTATTGTGCTTAGTGATAAAACCAATAAATGTTTGTAATGTTTGCCTGATGTGGGGCTATTATGGGGCTGGAATTGCTCACATCAATTTTTTTTTTTTTTTTTTTTTTTTTAGTGCTATATGGTAATTAGCATATATGACTATATGCTATATGGTAATTAGCATTTTAAAAAGAGGTTTTATTGCTAAAAATGTATTCTAAACTTCTCTGTACTGTTTACTTAAATGTGTTGGCTGCAGTTTTAAAACTGAGAGAAATAGGGTTCTCTAACTGAGATACTTAGCAAAATTTAGTTTTTAAACATGCTGTTGCTATCCATAAATCATAACTAATAAGATGTTTGCAATCTTAAATCATAATCTTTATTTTACTTTCAAGACCATAAGCTTCATGTTGATATTTATATTGTCAAAATGTGAATAGAGAAAATAAGGTTTTAATTGGAATAATTAATTGCTTGCTTTTATTGTTCATCTTATTATTAAATTCTGAAAAATAAATGGTGCTCTAATTTTTGTTCATATCTCTGCTTGAGTTTTGTTATAATTGTGTCAGATATAAGAAGAGAAACACATGATAGTATTCCATTTCAGATTTTCAAAAACAGGATTTGACTCAAAGACTCACATTAGTTTCAATGGTTTTTGGACCAGGCACAGGGTTAACAGCTTATTTTTCAAACAACTAAAAAGAGGTGTAAATGTCAAAGGTGATAGCTATACTGTGAGTTCCATAAACTACACCAAAAGTTACTACTAAAGCTCTATTTTTCCTTGTTTTAACAGCTTCTATGAAAACAGTGTTAATAAGTATATCAGGAACAGTATATAATAATGAATCAGAGACGTAAAAAAACCCCTTTAAAACTCCTTTTATATAATAATTGGAAAGTTAAAAGTGACTTAAAATCCCTGACTTCTCATGCTGTGATGTAAATTGTATTTTTTTTTAGGTTCCAAATTCAAAGAGGGAAAACTGATCCAACTAGTTACAAGAGCCTGGGGGACTGTTTTAGGACTATTTTCCAACGAGAAGGGTAAGAGTATATGTTTTTAAAATTGTCAATTTTATGAGATCTTTCTTAATCACCCATTTTCCAGACATTAGATCCTCTTTATATTCCACTCTTTCTTTTTTTGCAATTGCCAGAATTTGACAAACGTAGTCTTACATAATGAGCACAATTTGAAAAGTCTAATTAGTCTTAATTAGACTCACAATGTCAAATTTTGCTATTAGGGTATGATAAACATCAGAATGCACAGCTGTATGGAGACACTGGTGTAAACAGTGCTGCAGCACCAGGAACAGGATGGCCACATCAGTGTATTTATGTATCTAGGCTCTTCTGTCTTCTTGTCCTGGTTTTCAGAACTAGCTCAGCCTGAGCTGTTACCAGATCAGTGGAGTACTTGTTTCCAAGCTGTGATAAACTGGCATTCCCAGTTACTGCGTTAGACAATGTTTCCAGGATCTGTGTGAGCAAAGTTCCACAGCTTTTCGGTTTGACAGAATATAGAAAAAAGATTTATGGTCATTAGTTACCTGAATCGTACTGCCTTCGGAAGGTACTGCTACTATAAGCCTGAGCTCCTCTAAAGGACTTGGGTTCTGATCCAGAAAGGCATTTAAATATAGGCTTAATTTTATGAGCAGTCCAGTTAAAGCCAGTGAACGTAATTGGACCAATCATATGCTTAAAGGTAAGCCTGTTATCCACAGGAGCTCTTTGGGAGCTAGCCTTTAATCAAGGTAACTCTAATTAGTAACTCCCAGATTTGAGTAGCTGGCAGGCTTTCCATAAACTTTGAAAATACAAAAGCAACCCAATTTTTATCCGTATGTCACAGAATCACAGAATCAATTAGGTTGGAAAAGACCTCTGAGATCATCAAGTCCAACCTATAGATCATCAAGTCCAACCTATATGTTCATCAGAATGGAACTGTTCGTGTATACAGTGGCATAGAAACTGAGTATGGAGGCAGCATAGGTGCAGTGAGGCACGGAATTCTTGTGTCCGCAAGCTGTACTGGAAAAATGGAGGTGAGGTGAGCAGTGAAAATTTATAACTAGACCAGTTTTGTTTCTTGCAATGAGGCTTAGCTAAGCTATATTACATAAGTACATACATATAGAACCGGATGGTTTGAAATGACAAAGCAGGGAGATGCAGAGAAGTTTTGTTAAGGTGTTGAAAGAGGAAGGTGTTGCGGCTGCCCTTACTAGTGGTAAATTCATTTTTGTTGAAAGGTTAATGTTATGTATTATCACCATAAGGCATTGAAGAGCTCAAAAACTAAAAAGATTTCACAAACATGGTAATTTGTGGCTTCTGAGGTTTTCTAGGCTGAGTATATGTTAATTTTTATTGCTCCTCAAAAAATTAAAGTATTAATATTTACAATCATGTAAAACTAGTTTTAAACACAGAACCAGTTTCAATATTTAAGTCAGTAAGCATGAGAACAGTATTTATCTCTTCCAAACTCATTAGTATTTGTATTTTATTGAATGATTCACAAAATGTAAAATTAGGGTCAAGTAGACATATCTGGAGAATGAGTCTAAATCAAGAGACAGCTTCTAAGTAAATTGATTGTTGGTGGGTTATTTTCCTGTAGAATTCTTGTGTCCCAATACTGGAACTAAACCAGAATATTTTTTTAATATTTGTATCTATTCCTGAATCTCTGAGCAGGAAAAAGCAGATGATAACATGAAAATATTATACATTTAAATCACAATTTAGCAGTGGATTGCACAAAATTTCTGTGGGGCTAGAGCTAATACAGAGTTTTACTTGCCTCTTTCAAAAGCAGTCAGTACTGATCTAAACAAAAAGCAAATTTTATTATGACCAGTTTTTCTCCAGGAAGTTAGACAGAGTCAGAAAGTCACATTTAAACAGTCATCAATTGTAAGCACTAGGAAAAAAGAAGATGAAAAATCTTAGATAAAATATAATCTTAAATTTTTGTTAAAAATAAGAGAAGTAATCAGCTAATCCTGAAAAACCTACTTGACTCCGTGAGTCTTGCATTCCCATCTACAGTTGTCTGGTTTTCTAGAGCATGGAAATTATGACAGTTGCGAAGGAAGTGGGAGGTGACTGTGAATTATTTTAGTTAGGGGAAAACTTGAATCCTAATAACCCTTTCCTTGGGCCACCACAAAAATATGCAGAAGAGAGCACCAAGAAAGGGCTTCACATTTAGATACTAAGAAAACAAAACCAATTTATTGGGTATTCAGATTCAGGTGTGTAAATCTGTGAGAAGGATATAAAAAACTAATTTATGTCCCATGTTTGTTTCATATTGGCAATATGAAACACCCCTGTTGGTGTGTGGCATTTTTAGACTGATTTCCTGAAATATCTAAATCAGTGTACACTGACTATAAGGAGTTTAGGCATCTTTCTCCAGCACTCCGAATTCCTTACTGGCATATGTGATTCTATGTTAAATTGACAACCAAAAAAACCCTAATTAAATAAAGGAACACAGTGGGAAAAGAAGTGTTGCTAATGGCTTGCCCCTGAAAATGTTTACATTTGGAAATACTGCTTATGCTCATTCGTACTTATGTTATTCAGTAGTAGCAACTACGGATGTCAGAGCCTGGTTCAAACAAGACTCTTTATAATGCCTTAATTTGTTGATCTTGTTATGTTGAGTTTAAGTATGCAGCCTAGGAAGTACTTATTTTTATGAACATATATGCAAATGTTTCACTTGCTGCAATGCCTCTTACTGAAAATCAACAAGTAGTATGTTACTACAGTATCCCAATAACAATCTGATGATTTTATGGAAATCTTCTTCATCACAAATAATGCCCAGGATTCTTTAACCATCCCTCTGATTTTCTCCTCATTATAATGAAAAGAACAGAGCAAATATTTCCCATCTAACCACTAATAGAATACTGTCCATTTCAAAGCATGAGAAGACTACTTTATCTGTACAAAACACTAGAAATCTTCTAACCACAAAAAAACCACAGGAAAAAAAAGCCCTAAAAAAAGCTTCCTTCTCCCAAACCTTGACCAGCTCTTCAGGTGAAATAAATTTTCTTCAGTGGGAATTAAATTCTTCAAAGAAGGATCTATCTCTTGAACTCTTTTCTTGTCTTACAAGAAAATGGGAGCCACAAAACATAAAATTTAATTGAGACTCACTAAACGAAGGCTAAGTCAAGCAGAGCATTAAAGGTCACATAGTTTTCTATTAAAGGGAGGCAGCACTATTAACTTCAGGGCTTTTGCAAACTTGTTTTGGGAGTGTCCAGTTGCTGCTAATTGCACGGGGTCTGCAGCAGTGTGGATCCTCTCAGGTGATGAGCGGCCTCTGCTCTGAGCAGATTTGCCAGGAGCCGTGCAGCCGAGGTGCTCCGATTTCACTTATGAGATGACGCATGAATTGACAGATCTTTGACAGTGAGGTAAACTCACTAGCATATCTGTTCATTGAGAAGTGACAGCTTTATAGCCAATATAAAAATAATCTGATGTTTATTGGGGAAAATGTTTGGATACAGGATTAACTGAAACCATTAATAGAGAAAACTTTTCATTCACTTTAGATCCTACAAATAAGAGGTTAGGTTGTGTTAAATGACCAATTTTTGTGTAATCGTGATCTTTGCTGCTCTTGTATTCACTCACTTTTTCTTTCCTAGTCACTTAGGTTGGAATATGAAATGTAAAAATAAACCAATGTTCTAGCTGAATGTATATGTTGCATTTATATTAAAGACACATGGTGTTGTGTCTCATATTAAGAATAGAAAATTATGCCCATCTGCAGTCTTAATTTGGAGTTACAGCATTAAAATGATGGATGCTGTTATTTCAAGTCTGTAAACAACTTTGTTCTTATAAATTTGGATTTTCATGGGCTCATAATTTTAACAGTAAATGTTCTGAGTTATAGCTGGCTTTTTTGGTAGGCAGTCAGTCAAGAAACCTGTTACTTTCTCTTTCATTGTTAACTTGTCTGGAATAGAAAAGTTAGTAGTGTCCTGGATTCCAGTTTTATAATTCAGCATTTGAATAAGTTACAGTGTAAAGTGCTTCTTAGGCTTTCTTAGAACTGGATGGTCCTGGGAAAGTGCAAAGCACAATTGTTGTTGATCATTTGAGACTTCATTACTTCTGCTGAGTTATTTGATTGTTTAATTTGGTTTGGGAAGGAGCAATTACCTCCATATTTACACAGCCCAATGGCTTTATAACTATTTCTTGTTCTCGGCACCACCTCACCAGTTTCTTGTACCTATAATTGTCTGTATGACCACACACACCTTTTTTTTTTTTAATAAGCAGCACCCTGACTCATACATTAGTGGGATTAGGTTATAAAGCTGCACAAAACTTGTCTCTCGATGGGTGGAGTAGGTGGGAGAACAGCCAAGACTAAATAGGAGCTGGATGAGTGCAGAGTCATCAGCAAACATGCAGAAGCTGGAGGGCTCCTGGTTTATGTGATATTAGCGATTGTTCATCAATTAAGGAATTTGCTAGCACTCTCCTTTGTCCTGCGTCTATTCATCGACTCTCTGTCATGGTAACAAGTGCTTGAGAGACTGCAGCAGTGCTCTTGAGGCCTGGCTCTCCCAGCTGGCTGCAGATAATATTCTGCTGCTTCTAAATACCAGCAGGTCAGGGAAGGAGACTGGGAGCCTTGCAGGCAAGCACTGGCCTCTGGCACTCACCAGCATCATCACTGCCCATTCCTGGGGCCCAGCTGTATGTGTGCTCTTCCAGCTGAGATGAGGAGACCTATCATAAGGCTGCCAAATAAGAGTTACACAATATACAAATACTTGGCTATACTGCACCTGAAACCTTCAAAGAAATTGCCAACCAGGAAAGTGTGACATGGTCAGTCATGCCAAAAAGTCCTTTTCCCAGTGCACATTTATGGAGATTCATTTCCACTTACTAGAGGCATCATGTGGTATCAACAGACCAGACTTTAGGCTCTGCTTTCAGTGTTCTGAGGCAAGCAGAAGTTGCAGATTAAGATGCTA